ACATGGCACCAAAGAACAAAGGACACCCGGAACAACCCCGAAGGGAAGGATAAGACAAACCTATCAGAGACCGTAGTACACCTACGCAGTGACAGGAAAACCGGAAGGACCGCCAGGAGCTACCCAACGCTGCCGAGACGAAGAACACAGGCGGGAGACCAACAACAAAACCACCAGTGCCCACACAAGGGACGAGAACCCGAAACAAAAAACCCCGAGACACGAAGACTCGAAGGGAAGAACGAATCAGCCGGCACAGGGCTGGACCGACCTGCAAGAGAGGCAGAGCCGCAGGAAAACCTGCAGGATCGGACATCGAGCAAAGAAGCGCCCCAACCAAGTGCAGCAAAGAACCAGGGAACAGGAAGAGGCCAACAAGAAAACGAGGACCACGAACTGAAACGCGAAGCAAAAACAGCAACCCCGCAATCCACAGGAGCAGCGCAAGCCGCCCCAGCAGGGAAGAAGAACGCACGCGTCACCGAGGTATATATGAGGAGAACTACCCAGAACGTGAACCGCACGAAAACAAAAAGAACATCCCGGAAAGGAACAGAAAACAGGAGCCAGGACCATAAACCTAACTCCTCCCATCCCAACGAAAAGGAATCCTAGGGGCAGGAGTGGGCGAATGGAAGCAATACCTACCCGCAAGCAGTACAAGTACCTCATATACCACACACAAAAGACCAAACCCGGAGAATGAGGCCCCAGCATAAAGCCCATACCCCCTTTGGAAAATTGCAGAGGCAAGCCCCGAGGCCAGCCCCAGAGCAAAGTTACGAGGACAGGCTGTGGAAATGCAACACATGACACAAAGAAGAAGGGGAGACAAGAACACAACTAACAAAATTCTCAGAAGAATGAAAAGGTAGAGAATGAGAAACTGGTGACCACGGTCGGTACACAAAGAAGAGGACACAGGTGGAAACTGAGTACCCAAGAAGCCACAGGGACAGTAGAAAGAACCCTGACAGTGTCAGAGCAGGTAACAGATGGAAGGCAGTAGCCAGCGGTGTGGCAAAAGCAGACACAGCGCAAAAGGGAGAGAAGAAAGAGCCTAAACAGCTCAGGAATCGGTACACCAGGTGAATGACAGCAGAGAAGCGAGACCAAGGAGCCAGAGCCCAACACCTGCAAGCAGAACTAGGTGAGGTCAACAAGGCGAGGACAAAAACTGGCAAGGAGAAGAGAGCTCAAAGAAAACCCGAGAAAAGATTCAGGCGCCGAAAGACTGAACAAAAGGCACTGAAGGCCGAGGCTGCGTCCCACAGTACACTGTCCAAGGAAGGCCATGGCAAGATTCACGTAAAGTGGCCAAACAAAATACACAACACCTACACCCCACCAAAATCGAGAACCAGCGCCCGGCCGACAGCGTCGCCAGACTACACAACCTCACCTGCAGAGCGGACACACAACCGTGGCACAACACAGTCGAGCTGAGGAAGAAACCAGGAGCATCGCCAGGGAAGTATGACCAGAGATGCGAACCCAGCAGAAGCCGAGGTGCAGGACAGAGGCGGAGGTGGCGCCACCCGGAGCCACCACACCTCTGGAATCAGGGAAAAGAATCAAGGTGAAGTTCCCACATAGAAATCCAGAACACACCCCCGCACCAAGGGGCAATGACTGGAGAAGACAACGAATGAAAAGGCGTAGAAAAGCATGAGACAAAACATGTACGGACACCAAAACATGTACACCGCCCAAGAACAAAACGATCACCCCGGACCCTGCGCCCGAGGTACGAACCACACCACCCGCCCTCCGGTGGCGCGGTTCATACACCAGACGGATGGACAGATATCGTACACACACCAGCAAGATGATGTAACGAATAAGAGGAACGTCGGGACAGGAAGGAGAGATGAAGGGAATACAAAAGAAGGCGAAAGAGAACCAAAAGAAAACAAGGAGAATGGAAGAGGACCAACGAGTCCGAGAAGGGACTAGACGGTACTACACAGGAAGTCGGCAGACGTTCCAATAATACCTGAAGAATAGAAGAGTGTCGCGAACCCTTGAGAATCGTACAGAGGCTCATAAGCAGGGAAGAGGTGAAAACACCTGTAGGAACAACAAAACCGGCGGACCCGAAGGACACGGAACCGAACCCGGGGAGGGGCAGACCTGAAACCAACAGGAATGCAGAGGGAAAAGGAATAAACCTCCCCTCAGAGGAACTGCCAGCCCCGCTCCTAGGACAAAAACTCCAAGCGAGGCTCAACGGGGCAAAGGCTCCCCAAGCAACCCCTCCCCAACCCCAGGAACCTCCATGGCCAGACCTGGGGCCGAGCCATCCCCCACAAGCCCCGGCCTCGCAAGAAAAAGCTGAGGCAGCCGTAAAACACTAAGGAAGGGAGTCCACTGGTCAGACCCTTACGCACGGCTGGAGGAACAGGCCCAAAGACCTCCGCTGCCACCCCGGAGGAAGAAAAAACCCCCGAGACCGCCTGAGTCTCAAACACCAACGAAACACTGCCCCGACCCCGAAACCTCAGACGTGTCAGAGCCGGAAGCAAGGGGAAGGACCCAAATGTGCAACCGAAGGGGAAGGACCAGGAGGGGTGGATGGAACCAGAGCCAAAGCGACCCCCACCCCCAAGTCCGGGTCACAAGCACCAAAACGGGGCAGTCTCGGGGCATCCAGGGCTGCAATCAACCAAACGTGTTGCAGTAAACTAACCCAGCCTGTAACGTGACTACTTCCTGAACCCACATAACAGAATGAGTGGCGTGGGAAAACTGGAGTACGAACAGACAACCAACGTCACATGACTCCGGGTCAAGGAACCACCGAACCAGCAGGCAGCATGGCGGAGGCAAAACCGGTGAGTGTCACCCTGAGACAAGGGGACAGAGCAACCATCAAACTCGTAGTAAGTGAGAAGGGGACTCAAGGTCACCTCCATCAGGCCACAGAGCCCCCCGTTGGGATTTCCAGGGCCCTTAGCCTTGTGTACACACTAAGGGAAGCCCAGGCAGGGTACTGCGAACCGGCGTCCAAGTCTACTGAACAAAACTACTAAAAGCTGAACCCCTGGGATGTACACTCAAAGGGGCCAAACATAAGACTCCACTAAGCGAAAAGAAGAACAGGGAGACCCTCCCATCAGGCAGAAAACAAAAACAAAATAAAACCCCCGCAAGAGGACAATGTACCCTAGCGGAACAGAGCCGGCCGCTATACTTGTAGAAGACTAGCTGTGCAGTACCCTGCGCCCCTACCAGTGACGAAAACAACCTCCTACAAAGAGACAAACTAGGGCAAAAACCCCAGCCTACCTCAAGGGCGGCCCAGTACCGAGCAGTAAAAGACACAGCGGAGGTAGATCCCAAGGTGACTTGTGGAAGGAGCCCCCAAGGGTAGTACTCACAGGACACCTAGGGAAGGAAACCCTAGGCGCATGCAGCGTGAGTACCGTGGAATATCACTCCAGGCTCACACACTACCTGTAGAGACAGCCGACACCACAAGGCACAGAACTGAAACAAGAGTGTTGCCAGAGACACCCGACTAGCCAGTAAACCCATCAGCCAAGAACTGCCAGTTGGATAGCCGGCGCAAAGGGTCTGGGGCTCCCCCCTTCCCCCTCCCGGGGAGAGGGGGTGGGGTTTGCGCAGACGGTAGCGCGGCGACGTGATGACGTCATGCTAGTTTAATAATTTTGTTGGGGAGTTCTGTCCACTCGTTCGGCTTTCAGTAGCAATCTTTTCACCAGAATAGGGGTTTCTTTTGGGGCACCTACCTTTCTGGATGCCTGTCCTGGTCGATGGCAGACATAGAATGATCCCAACCACAAGGGGGGTTTCTATAGGCCATTGCTCCTCGTGCCTCTCTGAGGGGGCCAGGTTGTGGCTCATGGTCCCTGGTAGGCAAGAACTCCATGCACCTTGACTGATGCCAGAAAGTTATACATATCCATTCAGACTGGACAGCTCCAGGGAGCGTAAGGGCTCCCCCCCAAAAAGGAACATTTGGAAAGATTTCAGCAGCACTGGTGCCTAAAATATCATCTTGCCCAACTGAATATGAATTTGGCTTATGACACAGCGAACACATAGGGAGTAACCGATTGTTATAGCTAAGAAAATATTACAAATGTAAACTCTGCCAAATTCTTCAGTAGTATCACTAACAAGTTACTGTCTGAAGTTCTGAAGAGTTCATGATTTGTGATTTACAACCAGGGCACAGTAATTGTATAATGTGTACAGTAATAAAATGCACTAGATTCATCATTCATGTACTGGAATCTTAAAATGTATTGAATATCTTTTTTTGCTTAGGTTTGCAGTACAAGTACTGCAAATCTAAGCAAAACCTATTGAAGTTTAGTAACAATATTCTTAAAAAATTTTGACATAATTGTATACATTTTGGTAGCATCAACCTTCCACAGCCAAGTTCAGACATTTATCATATTGCAGCACTTCTCAAATATCACCTTGAACCAAGGAGGATACCTAAACCTTTGAACAATGGTATGCAGTTGGCCTATGTCAAAGCCTCTATTAAATATTGACATTTCTTCATAGAGTACTAGCCTTAAGTCTTCATACATTACTGATTTACTTCTAAAATCTACCATCTATAGCTGAAGTTCAAATCAAATACTAGTTGCAAATTTTGTGCAAAGACCAGACATATCCAAAATTAGCATATCAAATTTGAGTCTATGCTGAAATAGACATCTCGACCTGGTGGTGACTAGTTGAAGTTGTTTAGGTAAGACACTATCACAAAGAAAGTGACTATTGTAAAAATCTGTTACTTTCAAAAGTACAGGCCTTGCACCCTTATTGTTCCATCATCCCTCATTCTCTCATGAGTGGCTTATTGTATGTTAATTACCAATAAAATGTTTTTTTGCATAATAAAATTGATCAATTATGAATATCCCTTCATTACACTTACTTTCTACTTTTTGTTTTAATGTTACTTCTTTTCATAATATGTAATGTTAAATAATTTATAATTTCAAAGCAAAGCTTACCTTGTGAACAGTTCGACTGTGGTCATTAAAGACACAATCCATCTTTGACCTGGAAGCTTTATTTAAGTTCCAAGTGACCACAGCCCCATTAGTGGAAGCTGTTGCAAGAACACTGTCTGAAAAAGGTAAAAGTTCATTAGCAGACCAAGATAAAGGTCATTACTAGATATAATGTTTTATATATAAGTTCTCTCTCCTTGTTCAGAAAAGGGAGGGAATTATCAGGAGAAAGCACCAAACCATCACGACTATACAGTACTTCCTTGATTCAACTCACTATATTGGACCAACCCCAGTGCATTGGAGCGTTGGATTCATTGCAAGAGGTGACCTTCAGGAGGCGTTTGCGACAGTGTCTTTTTTTTCTTGTACACAATAAAAATGCATTATCATATTACATACTGTACCTATATATTACTACTCTACTAAAAAATACTGCGTTACAGTTGTTATTTACCTTATTGTTGGAGTTATGTCCATCTTGAAGTCTCATTGAGTTGTGAATGTTGTACAGTAAATAGGTACTGTAGTGTATTATGCCATTAGCACTGTGTTGATTAAGTAGTTCTGCTGTATGTTGAGTACTACAATACAGTTTATGAAAACTATTGTACACTAAAATTACTGCAACTTTAATTTTAACACACTCAAATTTAACACTTCCCATCAGTTTCACCAATAAAGTTTCTTGCTCTCTTCACTCCCAATACTTTGCCCTTTGTTCACACTCACTTTTAGCAATGGCCTCTCATAAACACCAACAGCAATTCAAACATGTTGGATACAATTACTGTTATCAACTTTTCTAGTTCAAGCAAAATATGATTACTTTGCAATGAGCATAGAGTTATTACTTGTGTGTCTAGGAGTTCACAGCCACAAAATACAATACACAATTTTGCACTTGAACACGAGAATACAACACACATTACTTACACTTATAAAAAAGCGACCATGTTTAGGTTTAACCCATGAACTGTGTAACTATTTAAAAGCACTACATTGAAGTGAATCTGAATAAAATAGTTAATAAATCAAATGGGGAAAAATTGCACAAGGTGATTGGAGCACAAGAGGAAATTGCAGATGGCAATTTGAGCAATGTAAGAGTTAATGTGACCACCAACAATCAAAGAAATGAAGATTTTCTATAAAAAATAAACTGGCCATGTGAATGCATATGAATCAAGAAAAGTAAGAGTCTGCTTGCTAGTTTTAAATCAAGAGTCAACAATGTTAGCTATCAAGAAACAGAGCAAATAATCATGACAATTGTGTCCAAGAAGAATGTATTATGGACGAGATAATGCAGTAGACATAAATTTGCAACAAATTAAAAATGTAAATAAATTAACACTTTCGCGTTCCACAGACTTAATAAGTCGTCACTCATTTTTCTACTGAATGTGTTCCAGTGACGCATTTTTGCGTCACTCGATATAAAAATTTGTAAAAAAAAAAGTTTCTATGCGATCTTCAATTTTTTTTTTTTGAAATGAGCGCCATTGTTTTCCCACAATCCTCCGTAGGCCGCATGGGATTCTGGGTCACGCCATGCGGTCGGCCTAGTCCTTTGTGTACGTCTCTCGTGACCGGACTACCGCGCTCCCGCGTCCAGAACCTGTGCCACTCTCTGCCCTGTGTAGCAGTGTTTATTCGTTCCTGTCTCCTTACAACGCATTATTACTTGCAAACATGGATCGTGGTAAAGGACAGAGCACCTCTACCCCCAAGAAGGATAGTGAAATGACCAAGGAAGATAAGTTGAGTGAGCTGTACAAAAGGTTCAGCAATGTGAAGCTTACCCCTAGTAAAATTCCTGATTTGTTGGATCGTTTGTCAGATGTGGAGGCAGATGCTGAAGGGGAAGAGCGTCAGAGTGATTTCAGTAGTGATAATGAGGGGACAGCGTCGTCTGATGAGTTTGATTCATCATCGAGTGAGGAGAGTAGCGAGGGGATTGAGGATGAGTCAGCGGATGTGGGCCGCCCCAAGGCACCTGTAAGGAGGCGTGCAGGACATCTTCAACAGCCTAATCCCGATGCTGCCTGGTCAACTGACAATACACCACCTATTGTAGGCAGTTTCAGTGCCACACCAGGCATAACTGTCCCAGTGCCAATTACCCCCCTGCAATTTGTTCAATTATTTCTGACCCGTGCCCTAATTGAGTTCATCACAGTGGAAACTAATAGGTATGCCAGGCAGTTTATTCAGAATGCTTCCAGGCGCACTATGAGGTTGTGGAAGGAGGTATCTGCGAAGGAAATGGCAAGGTATTTGGCTTTATCAATCTTGATGGGTATTGCACGACTCCCAACAATGCGCATGTACTGGCAAACAAGCCGGTTGTGGCATATGAGGACCTTCAATGTGTTCATGACTTCAAAACGATTCCAACATATTGCCCAGTTTTTTCATACTTATAACCAGTTTGCAATTCCACCCAACAACAAGAACCGCATGATAAAACTCAGCACCATCATTACCTATTTGACCAACAAATTTGGCTCTTACTACGTCCCCAATCAAGCACTCAGTTTGGATGAAGGTACAATGTCGTGGCGTGGTCGTCTATCCTTCAAGGTTTACAACCCCAATAAGCCTGATAAGTATGGGGTAAAGTTGTACATGCTTGCTGAGGCAGGGACTGGTTATATTATTGATTTCGAGGTTTATTCTCGAGTGGGCAAGACAACAGTTGAGACAGTGATGGGCCTTATGCGACCCTTGTTGAACAAAGGTTATCATCTTTATATGGACAATTATTATAACTCTGTCCATCTCACAGAATTGCTAAGGGAAAATGGTGTGTACACTTGTGGAACACTCAGATTGCAGCGTGGTGCCCCTAAAGAGCTGCAAAAACTTGCCAAAGGTAAATTCGCTGTTGATCAGACTATTTTCAGGCGCAAGGATAACACTTTTGTTATCCTTTGGAAAGACAAGAGAGTGGTGTCAGTGATCACAAACTGCCATAATGCTGACACACAGGAAGTACAGAGAAGGAAGAGAGTGAAGAAACGTGACGGAACATCATCTGTTCAGATTGTAACTGTAAACAAACCAACAGCCATTTGCGACTACAACAACAACATGAAGGGAGTTGATCACTTCGACCAAATGGTCAAATATTACAGGTTCACCAGGAAGTCGCATAAGTGGACTAAGAAGATCACATTTTACTTCCTTCAGATGGCTATACACAATGCCTATGTGTTGTACAAGATGTACACAACTGATGCCAAGGAACTGACCCTACTCCAGTTTCATGAAGTAGCAATATGGGCCCTGTTGGGGTGGGACATGGATGAGTGGCCTGCTACTGAAAGCCCTCTCCCACATGCTGATGATTACCAGGATCCTTCTCATGATTTGGCAACACCTGGACCATCTGGAGCGAGGCGTCCTTTATTTCATTGTCTTCCACGCCAACCACATGCCTCATCCTCATCAGACACTGAACCTGAAACTGAAACGCCTGCACCTCAAGCTGAAGCTACTCCTCCACCTGTGAAAAACCCCCGCATTGTTGATTCAGAGGACAGGCTAAACAGGAAGTTGACTCATGCATTAGTGAAAATTGCTAAACGGAAACGGTGCCGAGTTTGTATCAAGTCGGGAATTAGAAAAGACTGTATGTATCAGTGCAGGACATGTGGAGTTGCTCTATGTGCCACACCATGCTACTCAAAATATCACCGCAAGAGGATATTTTGGAAAGCAAAGAAATAACTCCTCTGCAAGCTTCCACTCCACCTAACGTAACATCTGTTGAGCAACTTCAGGGACATTTTCCTGAAGCCGGTGGAGTGGATAATCAAATGCTCAACTTGTTGACCTTCCTTCATCACATCGTGGGTAAGTACACATAATTTATATTACACATTTTGAGGTTATTACTTCTTCATACTTTGCTGTGGGTAGCTCTATATATATTCCAGTTCTTAGTGCTCAGATTGGTATGTCTACATAGTGCATCTTCTTGCGAGTATTTTGACACCAAAATGAACAATGTAGCACAAAAACTTCCATTGGAACAATATTTTTGTTTGTCGGGTGTATTGGGTGTACCGGGCGTGGAAACGGGTGTTTGGGCGGGTGAGGCATCGACGTGTTTGGGGGTGTTTGGGGGTGAGGCGCGCACGTGTAACCCACTTTTATGCATATGTCTGTGTAGGCAATTTTATTGCGATCACCGTGATACCAAACAAAACCATATGCAACAAGTTTTGACTTGATAAACACAATCAGAGTAGCAACATATAGGGAGAGTTTAGCGGAGTTTAGCGTGAGCGCGAAACAAAGCACGCAGTTCTTTGGTTGCTGGTCGCCTAATGTTAGCTTTGGTGAAATGTTATACATATGTTCTTATAGTACATTTCATTAGCTACACAGTGATACCAAAAAAAAAACACGTACATCGAAAATGAGGGTCACAGACATGAGGAGAGTATAAACTTTTCAGTTGTGGTTGAGCGCATGTGCAGCTGGGCGCGCTCCGGCGGGTAACCCTAAGCCAACTTCCCACATTCCTGTGGGTGGGGCGACACCATTATTTATTGTGTATATTTATATGTCCGTGTAGGGAATTTTATTGCGGTCACAATGATACCAAAATAAACCACGAATAATAATTCTGGGGTTCGCAAACATAAAAACATCGTAAACATTGATGCCCGGTTTTACGCTCACAGCTAACGACCGCCACAGTTTGTTATTCGGTGTGGTTCTCATGTTGTCTTTGGTGACATTTTATATATATATTCCTCTAGAGCATTCTCTCGCGAACACAATGATACCAAATTTAAATACATGCCGCCAAAATTAAGCTCCCCACCCCGAAAAGATTATAAACATTTTAGTGCTGACGCGCAGTAGGCCGACACGAACGGCCCACTTAGGGCTTACCGTCAGCCTATTCCCAGGGAGCGCGAAAGTGTTAATGGTCATTGGCAACAACTAATAAAAATAAAAAAATCATAGTTTACCTTCAACAGGGTTCCAAACAACATCATTGCAAGAGAAATTTAGGTTCAGGTGTTTCCCTGTACGAAGATTTGCCTTCTCAACTAAGTCATCATCTTCAATAGAAAAAATTTTGAATACTGAAACAAAATAAAAGTATAATTAGGATTATATTTCATTCAAGCAAATAAATCAATTAATAAATTTACCAACTGCAAAATAAGGTCACTGGTCTCCAGACATCAGCAACTTGGGGAAACTTTCCCTTACTGCATCGGTTGGTAAAACAGAACAAAAAACTAGCGTTGAATGTAATGAAATGCCATTTTCTAGGTGAGCCCCGGAAGCTCGCTGAAGCTAATGGACTGATATCCGCTATATTAGTCTGGAGCATCAGTTAATAGGAGTTCTTTGCCTAACGGGAATCACGAGCCAGAACCTGGTTCCCTCAGAGAGGTGCAGGGAGCAATGGCGTATGAACACTCCACTTATTGAGAGTATAGTCATGTCTGCCATCGACTGGGGGTATCACCCAGAAAGGTAGGTGAACCATTACAAACCCCTACTGGTAAAACATTGCAACCCAAGATCAAACAGAGACCAAGAACTCCCCCCCCCCCAAGTGGAAACAACACACAAGCAAATATCGACTCAACAAGCGTGCTTGCTCGTTTACGAAACCCGTCTCGAGAGGGAGCCTCGCCCAGGCAGCCCAAGTGCTCACACCAGCAGTTCGAAGACTGATAACAAACTGCCAACCGGAGGGAGGGAGGATGTCAGGGAGCCTCCAGGGATCAACCCAGAAAATGGCGTTTCATTACAATCAACACTGGTTTTCTGAGGTGAGCCCCATTGGCTCACCGGGGCTCATATACCCACAGATAAGCTATATACTCACAGATAAGTAGCTATATACTCACTGAAGCTATATACTCACAGATAAGTAAAAAGGGATTTACCCAGGAGGCAGCAGCACCGCATGCCTCATGATGAAGATGGGACAACTGGATGTGACAGACACCCCAAAGCCACACAAGGCCGCTGAGGACTTGAACGTTAACACTTTGCGCGGCCCGGCATGCATGCCCCAACCCACTTGCTATTTTCTGGGAAAGCACACCACACTAAAATATGTATACTCTTTCCAGTGTTCAGATCTCAATTTCCATGCTCCGTCTTTCATTTTGGTATGAAATTGTTCGTGATATAAAGGTGCACATCTTAAAACTAGTCCCATAATAATCGAACAATAAATTAAATTTTAACAAATATTTTAATTCAGGACACTCACCACCACATAAGTATTTATAATCTTTCCAGTGTTCTGACCTCAATTGCTGTGTTATGTCATTCATTATGGTATCAAATTGTTCGCAATCTAAAGGCACGCATTTTAAAACTAGTATCATAATAATCAAGCAATAAATGGAATTTTAACTACTATATTAATTTTGAACACTCATTACCACACAAGCTCCAGTGTTCCAACCTCAATTGTAGTGCTATGTCGTTCATTATGGTATCAAATTGTTCGCAATGTAAAGGCGCGCATTCTAAACCTAGTCCCATAATAATCGAACAATAAATGGAATTTAAACATATTTTAATATTGGATGCAAACTGCAACTCCTCCAGACAAGGGGAAAGTTAATTGTGGACACAATATCCATCGCCGCTGGACAAAAGTGTTACCAAGATAACGGGCGGCCAAGGCCCTGTTGACCTTCAAAACCCCCACACTTGAATATCAACACAAGACATGTTACCAAAGACTGCAGCAAGAGCCGCAAACTTACACACATCATGGGCATGAGAGTAGACCACAGGCTGGCTAGACATATAACCCTACAGACGAACTAAGGACCCGAGCCCTGAAACAGGGAATGAGGGACACCGGATCTACCCAAAGCATGTCCACAGATACAGAACCCAAGGCGCACAGATACCGCTGGAGAGCCGCAACTGAGACACAAAACATGATGCACCCCCAGCCTGACTAACCAAGCATCAATAACCCCCAGGGCCAAAGTAACAGAAACCTCTGTGCTGGAGAAGTTTGAAGCTCCCCCAACCCGACCCTCCCCCCCCCCAAGAGTCCAAAGTCAACAAAAACAACGCCTTCCCGAAGCTATAACAGTCCCAGTGGTGTAGTGGTAAGACGCCTGGCGTTTCGAGAGCACTTTGGCCTGGGTTCGTGTCCTGGCCAGAGGGGATTTACTTGGCGCCACTCCTTAACTGTAGCCTCTGTTTACCCAACAGTAAAATGGGTACTTGGTTGTTGAACGATTTAGCAGATCGTATTCCGAAGAATATTAGGATTAAGAGGACACGCTCGAAATGCTATGCATGCTAGTGGCTGTACAAGAATGTAAGAACTCTTGTATGTATAATTAATCAATCTGGAAACAAATGGGGCCACAACAAACCGAGGAGAAGAGAGGGAAAAGAGAGCACCCGATCCAAAGACCAGGACAGCTCAGGCAGCGCATGAGTAGGCCGGATGTGAAAAAATACACGAGAGTGCGCTTACAGAATGGAGCAGAAGTGACATCCACCCCAAACGCAAGCTGGAGCGGCTGCGCCAGCACCGCACTGTAAGAAGCGACAGTATTTAGCATAAGACGCCAGTCCTGAAAACGCCAAGAAAGAGAGGACAAAACAACATCATCAGAAATGTATGACAACCTACGAAGGGAAAGGAAATGGTAAAAAGAACGCCAGGAGACTTCATACTGTCACCGAGAAGAAGACCACAGGTGGGACACCATCAGAGAAGCCACCTGATCACCATACAAATGGAGATACACTTGCATTAAAAACACCAAACGCAAAGAGCGGAAGAGCAAGGCAAACCAGCAAGGTACCTCACTGGCCCGACCTATTGAAAGAGGCAGAGTTGTGGAAAAACTCCACAAGAAAAACGATTCAAGCCAAGCCAGAACCCGAAGCAACAGCTGGACCGGGGAAAGGAGGTAAAGGAAACCCCGCCTCGACCTATCTTGCCGAAAAGCATCTACCGCGAACGCTTCATGGTTGAGGAAGGGCGCCACATACACTGGGAAGCGCCAAGACCAAGCTGACGCAAAGAGGTCTGCGTCCGGGTGCCCAAATGTCCGGCAAAGCCAACTGAAGAGTCGGCGTCGACCATCCACTCCGTGGACAGAGGAATGAACCAAGACTAGTTAGATATATCAGCACCCGGAGGTGGAGCCTCATTGTCTCGGCGGGGTCGAGGCATCTTCCAGTGTATGAGGTGCCCTTCCCTGCCTGGAGGCCGTCGGGGTCGATGCCTTTCGGCGGGACTGGTCGGGGTGGGGTTACCTGTACCTCTTCCCTCCGGTCCAGCTATTGCTTCAGGTTCTGGCTCATTTGGAGACTTCCCAGGGGGAGAGTAGTCATGTTGGCTCCTTGGTGGCCATCCCAGCATATAAGATATAGAAGTCCCAAGATGCTGCCCTGTGGCACCCCTATTGTCAATGGTAAAGTGGGGAAGGTTATGCTATTGATGACTACATATTGGTGTCTGTCACTGAGATAGGAACAAATATAGTCCAGAACAAGGCTTCAAATACCATAGTGGTGAAGTTTAAATAAGAGGTAGTTATGGTTACATTATCAAAGGCCAAATTGACTCAGGTCAATGAAAAGGCCAATTGGGAACTCATTTTTGTCAAGAGCAGTGTAGATTATATCAAGCAGGCTAATAATGACCTCATTGGTACTCTTTTGGGAATGGAAGCCAAACTGTCAAACTTAGCATGTTGAATTTTACAAAGTAGGGATAGAACTGTTTGTAAATAGTATGAGGATGTCAAGATGGAACTTTCTTAAGGTACTGTACAGAAACCAAGACAAAAATGTGAAACAAGTTAAAGCAAAATGAAATACTTGCCATGTGCTCCATTCCTTAATTTCAACATACAGGAATATCATATGTTTATAATGTTGAAGTGTTTAATCATGAAGTCAATAAGATGAGACATTCTTAAGATAGAATTATAAATAATAATGATAACCATAAACTATACTAACTAGTATACAGTATATCCAAATGCAGCAAAGAATATTTCAAGTTACATAGTAAATACTTTACCATGGCGGCCAGCAATGACAACTTGGAGGTTATCAGGACTGAGGGCCAGGGCATTGGCGGGATGATCCTGTGTCACGCGCACAGTGGGCATCCTGGATCTGTCATTAACATACACCTGGAAGTACAGAACATACAGTAAACACTAACAGCATGTCCATAAATTTTAGCAGTTGGCTTAAATGGTGGTGTGGTAATGGGGGTGTGATAGTGGTGGGATGGTAGAGGTTCTGTGGCTGTGCACTGTAGTAGTAGAGGAGTGGTTTAGTGTTGTAGTTGTAGTGTGTGGTGGTGGTGTATTGTGGTGTAGTATTTTAAGGAAGCCCTTCTGCAGTGTTTCTTGGTGGTGAAAGTCAATTAATCAATAAATCGAGAGTTGATTGTAATGAGTTGAACATAACAGGGGCCCACCAGAAGCATAACTCTGATACCACAAACTTTAGCCCAGCACAACAGACTTCTGCAGCCAACCTGGAGCCAAGACCAGAACCTGGTACATTCAATAAAGCAAGAAAAGCAAGGGATTAGATATCAACCACAAAACTGAGGAAACTCCCACCCAAAAAGCAGACACACAACATGTAGCTGCTTAAAGGAAATTAGGCACCCATGGGTAATCAAGGTCAATGATCATTTCCACGGGGTAAATACCCTAACTGTGATGCATTGTCACCACAACGTACTATGTCACCCTTACTTTGATGCTGCCCCATACAAGACCCCAAAACCCCAGAGAGGGGAGAATAGGGCAGCAATATGGATTTACAAGAGAGCCACTTTAAAAGGGTGTTGGATTAGACTCGACGCTGGTTTATTTTTAGACGGTGCAATGCGGTGACTGAACTCACTCACAATGGTGCCACATTAGAGGGCCTAGAAAAGTAGGGCATTGAAATAAGGAACACGAGAAATAGAGAGGACAAATGAAGCATCGATCCCAACAGTGTAAGGAGCATGCAATATTGTGGCACTGTAGCCATCATTTGCAAATGGAAAAAAATTGCCAGAAAAAAAAAAGAGGTCAAGACATCCCCCCCTCTACCAACCAGCAAGAGAGTCTCTGCCAAGGCTTGAAGATGAAAAAGCAACAGTATAGGCACTAACCAGCAAAGTAAGACCAGAAAAAGCAGGACACACTTTTCTAAGGATAGCCATGCAAGCAGACCCTCATCCAACAAATAAAAGAGGGAGGAAGAAAACCACCAGCAGACACAAAGATACTGGATGAGAGAGAAAAGACCATGTAAAATTGGAGCATCAAACCCATCAGGGCAGGAACTAAACACCAAAGAAGACAAAGGGGCAACCACAGATCCTTCCCTGCCATCCCAATGCCCAATGACCTTCCTCCACCACAGAAGAGAAAGAACCAGAGAAGGACCCTTACATCCCCTCTGGAGTCTGGAGCCTCAACTACAGGAATGGACAGGGCATTAACCAGGGATCTCCTGGAACCCTTGAGGATTATGAAATGCTAGGTTCATCCCAAAACACAAGAAAAAAAATCAATCAGAGAGAGTATGCCCTCAAGCCTCCATTGAATCCCTACAAAAAACAGCCTCTGATGCTACCTCTTCCATTCCTGCAGCAGCAGAGCCAGGAATCCAACCTCTGGTCAAGCTCAGTGATGTTGCAGTCATCCCTAAACACATAAACACTAAGCAGAATGCAGTGTGCAGCAGGTATTTATTAAACTGCAATTTCAGTACATGAAAAACAGTCACAAAAGGTCTGCAAAGTGAAAAGCAGGTGGGAGCCACATAGAAAGCACATAAACCCACAAACAGTGGGGGGGAGGGGGTGGCTGATGGACAAAAGAATAATTTGTCCAAAGTTAATGAGGATGGGTTAGCACCAAGGGACCCACTGCTCAGAATAGCTTAACATCCCAAACTGATCAAGGGGAGTGAGACCGAGTGAATAAAATGCAGACGAGGAAAAAAGCACATTACTGTACAGTATGTCCAAAACACACTGTGTATTATGGCTGTAGGCATTTTACAAGTCTTACCTAGGAATCCTCCACTGTTCCTGTATCATAATACTGTTCTCTAAATGAATAAAATCATTATATCATCATAAGTATTAAAGACCAAACTCCCATAAACAGCAGAAAAAAAGGATTGGCAACTGCATCATCCAATGTAGAAAGGGGCTGCAACAGCCAACATTGTGAAGCTTTAAACAGCTAAACAGCTACAGTTCAAGAAGCAGCCATCCAAAAAGTCTGCTGAAGTTAGATTAGGATGTGATTGGTTTGGTATATTTATGCCATACTAATGCAATGATGTAGCACTACTACTCTAAGGGTTTTAAGTGAACCCTACTTAAGCAGTTTCCACATTTTACATTGTGACTTCCGCCATGCACTACAGACTCGGATGAAGCCTCTTGGTTGTGGTAGCAGACACAGACAGGCTCAAGGCATCATCCCTGTCACACACTGCCTGAAATCTAAGGTCTAAGAGTGTCCATGGAACAATGCAAACTGTATGTATCCTAATCTTACTTCTTCATACTTTGCACTGTGCATATAGCATACTTTGCACTGTGCATATAGTCTGCCCAGCCACTTCAACTGGTTGACAAATTCTTGTAGGTAAGTGTTTGATACCTGATAGTCTAAGCGGCAGGGCATCTTTTTTTTTTTTTTGCCCAGTCCTCATATTCCAACTTCTGCAATGTTCTCATATTCCGTCCAAGTGCTTTATACTAAAAAAATTATAAGCTATGTTTAACGATTATTAAAAATACACTTTATACTTTATAACTTGTATATATTACACTTCTTGCCTTGCACACAGGTTTGATTCCTAGGTGGGACAGACATGAAAGGACACATTTCCTCTCACCCAATGCCTTTGTTCGCTGAACAGTACATTTACCTGAATTTACCTCAATTTACCCGAGGGCCATTAACACTAATGGCTTCAATGAGGACAGGAAGCTGGTGGCTTGTCAATGGTCTCCCTACCCACCATTTGTCCTGATGATTTCTTCCAGCCAGATTTTAAAATTTAACAGTTAAATCATGAAAAGGAAAGGAATTTCAGGAAAACTCAGTTTATTAGGCAGCTTGGCCTATTAGGTACAATAAATATATACTGCAATATATGTATACATAAAGCATCCAGTCACTGACAAGAAACAAAAATTATTAGCCTCTGAATTCTTGACAGGCCATAATATTTGTGGGCTGTCGGCGCACAGTTTGTACCAACAGACGTCCTCGAGCAAAAGAGTTTGATTCTATGTACAGTGACACCTTGGCTTACGAATGCCCCTAGTTACAAACTTTTTGGGTGACAAGACAATTTCTTTGTAAAACCTGAATCGGGTTACGAGCTTTGCCTCGGGAAACGAAGTTTGTTGATACGCGTATAGCCAGCCTAGCGCGTGGTGGCACGGCAATCACACCTCAGTTTACCAGTGCCTCCCACCTAGTGACAATCACACCTGAATTCTTTGCAAAGAATTATTTTTTTTTGGGGGGGGGGGGATTTTTGGGTATTTGAACATAAAAGTTGTAATTATATATCTCACCATGGGTCCCAAGAAAGCCAGTGGTAAGGTTCAAGTCAAGAAAACATATGTGAGAATGATCATAGAGAAAAAGAATGAAATCATTCGTAAACATGAAAATGGTATGAGGGTTGTTGATGTAGAGTAGAGGATGTCCCTTCCTCATTTACTAAGAAAATGTCTGCAGTATGGGAAGAATTGCAAAGTTTTGCTGAAAAGTGTCACTTAAATCAAGCTGTAGCAGACCGTTGTGTTAACCTTTTTAATGACAATGTGATGCCTCACTTCAGACAAGTGTTACAATGTAGGGAAAAATAAGTGTTGTTAGACAAGTTTTTAGTGAGAAAAACAAGCAGTGAGCAACAAGCAGGTCCTAGTGGTATGCAGGCAAAACATGCCAGAGTGTACCCCCCAGAAAAGTCATCAATGCCTGATGTTATAATGGAAGGGGACTCCCTTTCCAAACACTAACACCTCTGCTCCTCCCCCCTCCTCACCGTCTTCCATACGCCAACAAGAATCATCAGTAAAGGTATGTAATAACTTGTACATATTTTAGTACTAAGGATTTGGGTGAATTAGGTATAAAATTTACTTTGAAATAAATTTTTTGGGGAGTCTGGAATGGATTAATTCAACTTACATTATTTCTTATGGGAAAATTCGCTTCAGTTTACGAATATTCGGCTTACGAGCCGTCTTCGGGAACTGATTAAATTCGTAAGCTGAGGTACCACTGTATAAAACTCATCAGAGTTTTGGTATTTACCACTTCGACAAATAGGCAGTTCCATGGGTTTATAACCCTATGGGTGAAAAAGCATCTCCTGATCTCAGTCCTACATTGTGGACTGAGATAGATATGTAATCATGACATTTACTTATTTATTTATAAACAAACAAGAAGGTACAATATGTTTATGAGAGAACATAGCAATGATGTTTTTACATTCTTCTAAAGTCACTAACACGCATAGCATTTCAGGCAGGTCCTTAATCTAACAGATAATTTTAAATAAGTAATTTGTAGCAAAATTGAAAAAAGTTAACAGGTACATTATAAGAAGATTTGAAGAAAATTAGTGAGTACATTTTAATATAATTTGAGGATGATCGACAGGTACATTATAGCATAATTTGAGGGTTATTTCTAGGTACATAGTAGTAAAATTTGCACTCAACATAACCATGATATATGATGATGGCAGTGATTACAACAGTAAAGTCATATAGCTTAGGCATATATTCTGGGGTAGTACACGATACAGTGCAAGTGTGAAGCACTAGGTAGAAAACTATGAGGATGAAATTAGGTACAGTACTTTTTGGTGTTACATTCATTTATATAATTACAATATAACTGTAGATTTGGTGTATCAGGGCAAATGACAATACCTTTGACAAGCCGCCGGCTTCCTGTCCTCGTCGAGGCCACTTGTGTTAGTAGCCCACAGGTAAATACTGGTAAAAGCTTTAGGGGCAAATTATCCACTATCCACAAAATTATCCCATGACAAGCAGAAAATTGTCCACACTTACCAACCAACAGAACTTAATTAAGATCCAAGTTGTAACTTCTGAAATAAAAAAAAATTATAAGGCCTATTAAAAATATTGTTGTCGCCAAGAGGGCTGGATGCTCGGCTCTCAGACACTGTCCAAATTCTGGCACTCAGAGATAGTACTCTTTAAATACGACTTATGTTTTGTTACATTTTCAATTTATTTTATTATACATACAAACCTAAAACACATTTTAGCCGAATGAATTGAAAAGGTATGTTAAGTTATTTAAAATAAAAGATACTTTCTTAAAAGTTTTTTTAATTTTAGGATTTATATTAAACAATTTTAAAGTATTTTTATACGGAATTATCTAGCTGTGAGGCGTTCGTGCCGAATGGGGGACTGGTCGATTCGAACATAACCATTTCGCATAGCGTCGGTTCAGTACACACACAAAAAAACAGTTCGTTCACTGACAATTATTATAATAATAATATTTTATTTAGGAAAAGTACGTACATAGATGCAGTTACAAACATTCTGATTGATTTATAAATAGAGCTAGTACATACAATACCTAAAGCCACTAGTACGCATAGCGTTTCGGGCAAGGTTCAAGTTCAAGTTCAAGTATGTTTATTGACAAACTTATTCAAGTTCAAGTTCAAGTATGTTTATTGAGATAAGCAAGAAATACATCTCAAAGGGATAGAGTAGCTATTTCTACCCCCCTCTATTTCAAGTCCCTCAAGGGGCGCACAAATTCAGTGAGTACAAATAGACAAATAACATTACAAGATTCCCATTTAACATTGCAGGTTTATATAGTAAGTACAGCATATAATTGTTACACTCTCGAGGCAAAATTCTTGTAGGTCCTAAGTATACTGTCTATCATACCATTATCACACATCCAAACAATTTGATGTGGTACACTATTTATTTCCTCATTTCTATAGTTTTCAATAAGTTGACACTCTAATACATAATGTTCTAAGGTGTGGGCGTGTGGCATACTACATAATTTACACTCCTTATCTTTTTCACTGACATCAACACCGTATTGCCAGATATATTTGTATCCCAATCTTAATCTCATGTAAATTGAATCCTTCCAAGTAGACTTTCCTTTACCATAAGTGAAGGACGAATTTGTATTTATTATTGAATAATTCTTAAGTGTGTTACTACTGTCCACCATTGCCATTCTCTTTATCATTTCTTCACCCTCCTGGATCATCTTGATTCTTGTTTTCATTTGTGTAACGGTTCTATTGTTACGTAGAGTATGGTGACAAATAAACAACTTACTTACAAAAACTTAGAATTGAATTGGTCACTCCGGGGTCACCAATGTAACGGTTCTATTGTTACGTAGAGTATGGTGACAAATAAACACAGACACTAAGATACTATATATATATTTGGTCGAATATACAGAAGTACACAGGTGATACGTTGGTGTGAGTTGAGCGCACTGAGCACAGTATCTCACAAGTGTCTGCTCTAGACCACACTTGAAAGTAGACTCTGCTTTAATGTTTGCTATCCTGCTGCTTATATGCCCGGGCAACTCCTCGCCACCGTATTGCCCGGGCAATGCCTCACCTCATTCATCTCCAAAGGTTGACAGGAATATTAACAATGCATTTGGAGCGAGTATATTATTGGGATAATCTACTCGCTACATTTGTTTCAAGGTTAACTGACATACAACATCAACAAGAGTTTTTTCAGTGGCTCTCTTCGCAATGTCATCAACTACCTCATTCAACAGTATTCCCACATGTGAAGGGATCCACATGAATCTTACTTTATACCCAGTTTTTTCTAGTCTCTTAACATTCTCTCTACACTCTATCACAATATTCTGATATACTGGGCGTCTGCTATTTAAAGACTCTGTAGCGAGTAGATTATCCCAATAATATACTCGCTCCAAATATAGTGTTAATATTCCTGTCAACCTTTGGAGATGAATGAGGTGAGGCGTTGCCCGGGCAACACGGTGAGGTGTTGCCCAAGCAATATAAGCAGCGGTGTAGCGAACATTGGAGAGTCTGCTTTCAAGTGTGGTCTAGAGCAGACACTTGCGAGATACTCTACCAACGCTCAGTGCGCTCAACTCACACCAACGTATCACCTGTGTACTTCTGTATATTCGACCAAATATATATATACTATCTTAGTGTCTGTGTTTATTTGTCACCATACTTTACGTAACAATAGAACCGTTACATTGGTGACCCCAGAGAGTTTCGACGATACCCAGCCACGATGGACTACAACATGGACTCTCACTGGACCTCCACTGCTGCTGCTTGCTGTGGACCGCAGGTACCTGTCGTGGAACGTTGCCAACACCCTTGCCACAGCTATGATTTTCATCGCGATCATCTCTGCATTTTCATCTACTACGGCTTGCTGCTCCACGATCACTACTCACTCATCTGGCAGCTTCATCAGTAACTACATAATGTGGGATCTACAGCCTGCCCTGCCGACTCTCCGTCGCTGCCAGGGCTCTGCTTGTTCTACAGGGGCGCCCACGAAAGCTGCTCTTTCGTCAGATTCATCTACACGTTCACTGCATTTTGATACTCTGCCGACTCAAGCCCTTTGCGCAGTACAGGACTTACAGCTTGCGTTTCCGACTCTTCGTCGCCTCCAGGACAATTCAGCTCTAGCAGTGATTACCTCGTTGTCCTAACTACGTGCCTACATTACCTCCTAATGTCCTGGTGCCCGAGCCCATCCTCCCCCGATCTAAATGCTCCACCAGCGACCCAAGGACGCAACAATTATGCACATTCTTCTCTCCTGCTACACCGAGCTTGTCCACACACTGCCTACATCTTTTGGTACCAGACTACAAATTCCACAGTCAACAATGTAGTACTCGGCGTGTACAGTCCTAATCAACCCAAGACGCTACAGCTTCGACACAGAGCAGACAGCAGACTACGACCGCATCGAGCCGCCACGCTCTCGCTCCCCGAGTTTAGACACTCACAAATCTCAATCGAGCCGCCACGCTCTCCCACATAGAGCTCCACGACTCCGGCCTCACTCAGCTCTCTGCTCTGCTCCAGGCTTCGTCTCAACGTCTGCGACACTGCTAAATCCAGAGACACATCCGCCGACTACGCAGTTCACTTTTCGACCCCAATTACCAGCCGCACCACAACCCTCCAACGACGACGGACGACCTCCCAGCACAGGATCCTCCTACGACCCCAGTTAGATGACATCAGCGAAGAGGAGGAAGTTAACTTTGATGGTTATGTAACGCGAGCAGGGCGAACAATTCACCGACCAGCTAAGTTCCTTGATCAATTATTTTTCCTTTCATCCCCTGGGAGGGGGAGTTCTGTAGCGAGTAGATTATCCCAATAATATACTCGCTCCAAATATAGTGTTAATATTCCTGTCAACCTTTGGAGATGAATGAGGTGAGGCGTTGCCCGGGCAACACGGTGAGGTGTTGCCCAAGCAATATAAGCAGCGGTGTAGCGAACATTGGAGAGTCTGCTTTCAAGTGTGGTCTAGAGCAGACACTTGCGAGATACTCTACCAACGCTCAGTGCGCTCAACTCACACCAACGTATCACCTGTGTACTTCTGTATATTCGACCAAATATATATATACTATCTTAGTGTCTGTGTTTATTTGTCACCATACTTTACGTAACAATAGAACCGTTACAACTCTAACGCTCCTCTGCTGTCAATAAAGAAGCAAGCATTTTTACCACATTTGACTACCTGTAATCCTGCTAATACGCCTTGGAGTTCAGTCTGCGTTGAAGAGACATTGTCAGTTAAGCGGCGTCCAATAACAGTATCTACAGTGCCGATGTCAGTGTACTCCCTGATCAAGACTCCACATCCTGCCTTCCCATCCCTAGCTACTGACCCATCACAATATACATGTAGAGTGTTTTCTGTAGGCAGTTTTCTAATTATACAATCATATGTTGCCCTCAGCTCTCCTATTTCATACATACTTTTTTTCTTATGCAAGAGAGTAATTACTACATCTACATTACAATCCTCCCATGGTGGTGTAAATTTTCTCTTGGGCACAGCAATACGCTCTGTAATAACATTATAACATAATTTATTCATATATACTCTCTTCTTCATCATACACTGTTCACTACTTCCCACCTTTTGAACCGAGAGGATTAATTCATTAGCTCCCCCACCTCTCATTAATCTAATGGCAGAGGCTACATTTATCTCTGAAATTCTATCCCCAATACTCTGCAGATTCAACTCCATCCTCATTATCTCAATCATAGCATTTCTTGGGCATCCTAAGATAATTCTCATGGCTTCATTTTGTACCTTCTCCAACTTGCCCATCCTACCTTTACCAAAACAAGAAATGACAGGTGAAGCATAATCAATAAGAGATCTTACAGTACTCAAGTATATCATTCGTAGCACAGGGACTCCCACTCCTGAAGCCATCAACACAGCCACTCTCCTGGTCAACAAAGGTGTCTAGCAGCTGGACACCCTCATAAAGACTGTGAAGCAGTATCCTCCCCCACGATAACAGCTTGATGGTTAAATGCAACCTCAGAACACTGGAAAAAAAATTGTACCACTTACGGGCTATTCATGCCCGTGCCACCTCTTGGGTGGCTTAATCTTTATTTATTTATTTATTTATGCATATACAAGAATGTACATAAGGAATGTGAGGATACAATTATGGTAATTACAGTCTTGTAAAGCCACTAGCACGCGCAGCGTTTCGGGCAGGTCCTTAATCTAAGAAAATTTTAAGGAGGTAAATACTTGCAAAATTTATAGACAAAAAAATGATAACAGATTACATGGAATGAAAAAAAAAAAAGATGAGAGAAAATTATAGGTACAGTATATTAAAGCACATAGGTAGCTATGATTGATTGCAATGACAGCTTAAAATGGTAGTTGACAACAAATTGGTAGGCGCAATACAGCAGAAACAATATAAGATTGATTGCAATGACAGCTTGAATGGTAGTTGACAAAAATTGGTAGTCACAATACAGCATATGGCTAGCACATAAAAGAAGACAGCAATGAACACAATGATAAGGTTGTTTGATATTACATAAAAATTAGGAGATTGGGTACCACTAGGTACAGAGCAAATTTAAAGCTCAGTGTAGGAAACTAAATAGATGAAGTTA